GTGTGCATGTGTAAAAATATAACCCAGGAAGAGTGTGTTTGTGTGTGTGCAGAGGACCTACCTCTTTCACCCTGATCACGTTTAGGCAACACTGAAAGTGGCAGACAGAGTTTGTTTAGTTTCCCCTGGAGGACATCACAGTTCTCTGCCAACAGACCAACCCACGTGCTGTGACATCAGGCCCAACTGTGTGTATATGAATATTGCCTTAAATACATGAGCCATGTGAGGTACGCTTGATTTATTTTTCCAGACACTGACAGGAAAACACGAGGGCATGTGTCCTGATCTTAAATCAGTTCTGCTCGTACGACAGCAGGGCGGCATGCGTGGGCAAAGTCATATATTTTGAATTTTTAAGTGAATCAAAACATATATGTTAGAAGCGCCTTTTCTGGAACTTGATAGTTTTACTCGAGGATCTGCAAATGTACAGGAGGATAAATGAAGCACACCTCGAGCAGTCCAAATATTCAAAACCTTATTCAAATAGATGTTTTCACCCAGGTTTGACACGGCTCTTAGGCTGGTGTGTTGGCTCCTCAGGACCCCCCATGGCACGAGGGCATGTAATCATCCTGAAAGTCTCTTTGGGTGTCTGCACTCTCATAAAGCAGGAAAATGGATCGTGCGGCCCAGGAAGGGAAAATGAAAGAAAAGGAGAATGAAATTACAGACCTGGCTGACTGCACAAATCATGCATATCATGTTTTATGGCTTGCCAGAAGAATTCAACACCTGTGGATCACCGTAGCTATAATTGTACATGAACGCACCAGGAATGGGGGGCTGGGAGGAGAGTTGTGGTTTGTGTGTCACTGAATATGTGAGCGAGAGTGTGCACACCTAGTAGGTGTCTGTGCGTATGCAAGTATGTTTTTCTTGGCATGGCCAAGCTCAAGAAACAGAGGGAGGATGATAAAAGAAAGTTACGGGAACGCCTGTTGTTCACTTCTTCAGTACATCCTGGGTGAGCCGCCCACAGCCCACAGGGCTCGCTCACAGAGGCTTCATTTACCATTGTAATTACCCTGTTTATTTACCCTACCTGCTTTTGGTGGTAAAACGGGGCCCAATTCATCAGATCAGGACAATTTGGCCTTGCTTTGGCTTTGCCATTTACTTTAATTAAATGAGGCAATCAGTGAATCATAAATCACAATCCGTGTGACCACTGGCTCTGTTTGAACCTGGTCCTCTTCTTTAAGGCCGACACACCTTCTGCTAAAACCTCAAGTAGACACACACACAAGCTACTGCAACTCCTGAGCCTTAGAATTAACCATTTAACCAGATAAATGTGGGATTTTCTTCACATTGCTCAAACAGAAAATATATGTTTTTTTTATCCTGTGAATCTCTTATTTCACTTATTTCGCCTTTGGCTCTTTAAAAGTACACATGGATATATAGGGTGCACGGATGAAGGCTAAAATCTAAATAAGATGACAACATGGTAGATCGAAGAGTCTTCCCTTGTCTCCTCCCTCGCTCTCCCTCTCCCTCCTCTCCGCCGTGGATGCTGATGCTTGAGTCAAATTGATTACACCACTCCATCTGCATCATGACTGGCCTCCTCCTGTGTTTGCCGCCTCTGCCTACAGCACAGAGTTAGTGTACAATTACATATAGTTTAATATATCTGCCTGAGCACCTTTAAATAAGCATCACAAGTCCACAAGGTGATTTGTCTTCCAGCCCCATTACTCCATTGTACATCTTGATAGCCAGGGATCGCTCCTAGCTATGTTTAAGCATTAAATAGTGTATTATTATTTCACATAAATCAAGCTGAGATGTGAGGGGGGTATTCATAAATTTTGCATTTCTCACAGACAGTATTTTAAAGCCTCTCTCTCTCCCTCCACCGCTCGGAATTTTGAGACTAAAGCAATTCTGCTCCCTGCACTTGATAGTACATTAAAGATAGGCATATCAGGGAGGTATATTCAAAACAACATGTAATGCAGTTTAGATTAAGTTTGAGTTGCTCTAACACATTCATCACAGCACTGTTTCCATAATAAGTACCCTTGCCTTTCTCAGTGATGCATCCACACACATGCACCATTACCATCAGAGAACACTGTATTGTTATTGTCATGAATAATGGGGCAAAATACTAATAAAAGCCCATTTATCATAATATTTTTCACAGTTTACCGTGGCTACTGAATCTCTTATCTGTGTTCGACGATGAAAGGGTGAAATTAAATTTAAAGGTGAATGTTTGCCGTCAGCCCTTTTCTTCAAGACAAGTGCCCCTGACCCCCTCCCTCCACCCCCTCCCTCTCGGATATTAGTCCTGTGTTTGTGCAAAACGTCTACTGAGGAAATGACTTCACTCAGGAAACTGGATGTCAGCTTTACACACGGGCAGGAGAGCTGCCAATGTTTTAGTCAGTCCGACAACACGTTCTTTTCTCAGCTCGCCCTCCAGTTGAGTGTAGAGCTACAAAAAGTGACAAAGAAGGAAATTGGACTCGTAGTTGTTTTGGTTACTCCAAGGACACCTCGCACATTCGTTTCTATTTCCTGTCTCTGGCCTGGTTTTCTGATTGGCCCTGATGTGCAAGTCAGGGACTGAAGGGTGTGAGGTGAAACCTGGAGCTTTGTCATGGGCTAATGGACGTCTAAGGTTATCTTTATGTGTCACTTTCTGTGTGCCAGCTTGGTCCAGGATCAGGACTTTTGCGTACAGGGAAAAGCCTCTTTACAAGTTTACGTTATCACTAAAAAATACTGCTTAAATTACACAATTTGCTGAGAATGTGCATCCCATTTTCACTCAGCTGACACGTAATAATGCAAAAAGATACAGAAGACTTTGTTATTATACATAAAATAAAAAAAATGGTCCAGAACTTAAGCCAGTCGTATTCTAAAATCCTGCTGAACATAAATCAGCCAGCTCCAATTATTTAAATAATGCAAAAGTCTCATAAGTTTGACTTTTGTGATTTCATGCTCACATTGCAACCCTACACCACAATTAAACCTAATTTTCACTTTTAAAACATGCTTATCATTTCCTGCACATAATAATTATACGACCCACTGGCCCGGGGGCTCCAGCGTTGCAGCAAAGTCAGTAAAAAATCTTGTAAAAGTCATTGCAAATTGGAAATTGACTAGATGCCAGGACAGTAAGTTGAGGATTGGGGGGGTAGAGAGAAAAATGTCTTTGAACTAGTTTTTGCTTGCAGAAAATATTGCTTCTGGGTTGATATTCTTTCTGAAGTGTTTCATGGCAATGAGAATTAAGAAATAAAGCGCAGCGCCAAATGATTCAGTGAAAAGATGGCACACACCCACAGGTATTCTGTTCACATGACATCACCCTGTGTAAAATTGACAACTTCATGTTTTTTTTAACCTTTTTTTGTGGGTTCTCTAAGTTTATAGAAAATCTCTTTGAAAGAGAGACCGTGGCAAGAAAGCAGCATCACATAAAATGAAACTTATGGACATTAACAATCAACAAATGCTGTACGGGAAGCAACATCAGTACAAAGTGACTTTATACTTCATTTGAGAATAAAATGCTTTAATTGATTGCTTGGTGTTTTTGTGGCTGGTTTTAATACACTTCAGAGCCACATCAAGGTACATGTGAACGAGATCTCTATCTGTCTCTACCTCTCATTCCTTGGAAGTATGTGTCTTCTGACCTTGACATGTGCAGGCTGGCTGCATGTTTCCCTCTCAGTGCACTCTTACCTCAGCTCATGAACTGGAAACTTTGCTCCTGTCATCTCTCTCTCTCTCTCATATGATCACTCTGCTTCCTTGTGGCTTACACACATCACACACATTGGCAAATACCTGGGAGGATAAATGCTCAGTTAAATTGAATAAACATAATCCAGACATGCTCCATTCCAACCTGTCTGTCATGGAGAACTTACACAGAGATCCCTGATTCCATCAGTGAAGACGGCACACAAACAAGTGCAAAGATTAGATGTCAGCTGAAAGGCCGGTGTTAGATAAAGGATTATTCACAGCTCTCGTGATAAACATAATTTTAATCAAACATCAGATAATCTGTGATTTTACTGAACCGGTTTCATTGCTTCCTTTGTTATCTCTTGATGACAGATAGCAGTATATATTGCATACATTCACACAAGTGTTTCCTCTTTTTCTCTCTCTCCACAGTCTTGTTAATTTTTTTTTTACCCAGTCACAGGTTAGGAATTCTGTGTTTAACTGTACAGTGTAAAAGAAAATACTGTACATATATCACCTGAATTTCTTGGCAGTATGATAGATAGTAAGTAATAGTGTTACATGAAAGTCCAACAATTGCAGTAAAGTAAAGAGTAACCCTGCCCCGTCCTTCTCTGTGCTCCCTGCGCTCCAATGTCCTCTCATGTTAAAACAAAGCATCTGCCTGTCTATCATCAAACCATAGGCGCTCTGGGTGGGGCAGGATTTCAGTCTTTTGAAGTGAACTTGTCATGGGAAATCTGCATCACTGGGGCTCAGTACAATCACAGGCTCAAGATTAATTGTTTGCGGTGTACCACTTCAAACTGATTTTAGACACTGCATTATGGGATGAACTTTTGCAATGCCTGTCATCACCTATATACACACCTGTGCACTCTATAATGGTAAATCTTACATTTTCACATTCTTGTGTAGCTATAAAACACACACATATGCTCAGGTGCATACAGACATATTCTTGAGCTCATGAATCCTTAAATACAAAAACACTGTCTTTATGTATTTACTTAAAAAAATGAACATTTACAGATGCAGTTACACACATATACATTTACAGATGTGTAAAATGACAGTTTTTACCCCCTCACCCCTCACAATGCACACACACACACACACACAAGCATGCACGACTCTAAACAGACTGCAGTAACACAACATTAAGCGGTTTTCTCTTCTCTGTTATCTCCAGCTTCCTTTTTGCCCTTTGGTTAAACATTCTCTTGGCATGCATGATCTCATTTAACTTTGATTTCCTCTTTTTCCAGGACGGCATCTTCGGTGGTTCCAATTTCCAGCCCATTCCCCAATTTTCAACCCCAATGACAGACAACACATGCTTGAATGGCTGTTCAGCTAAAGAAGGGAATTGGTAAGTGATGATTTTAAATGCTGTTTAAGATAAAAGGAAGAGTTTGCAGCAGATAAGGATTTGCCCGCGTAGCGAGCAGGAAGCTTGGAGATACTGGTTTGAATGTGCGGTTGCAGTAGCTGCATACAACAGATGTCATTTATGTTACTGAGCTTTAGGAAACACTGCTGTAGACTAATGTTAGTTTGACAGAAATTACGTTTTCATCTGAGTGGAAGTTTATTTACTGTATTAAGATAATTATTTCCTTAAGCCTGAGTTTGACAAGGTGTCTATGTTATATATATTTAACACAAATAAAAACATTGTTATATTAATATTTTTTTCTTTTTTACTGAAAGAAAAGACATTGATTTTTATAAATGAGCTAATATTTTAAATATGATAAAAAAAATATTGACTTAAACAAAATTCACATGAGATGATCAAATGTCCCTGGTTTGTGAACTGTGTAAATTATAATTTATCTTAATAAAATATGAAAAAGTCCCCAAACAAAGTTGTGTCTGAACCACCCCGACTAAATAAACCTGGGACAACATAATAGTTTTGATAGGGCTGTAAATAAAGGCAGAAATTACTAAGCTTTTTCATATAATTTAACACACAACATTTTCATTCCTACACATTTCCCCCATTTTCTATTTCTCTAGTTTTGTATGTGACTCTAAATAACAATTGAAACATTAAACAATATTAAAATATAATGTTAAAATTTTTGGCCAAGGCCTAAAATACAACAACTTTCACCTGCCATAAATGTAGAAAATTAAAAATGTAAACTTTCAGCTTCATTATATATAATCGTATGAGTGTTGATGGCGCCCGACACAATCACAATATTGACTTAATTTGTTCCTGATTAACCTCTCGAGTGTGGAGAATGTGTCCAGCATGAAGGACTTTTTTGTCGGTTGAAAAGAGCAGCTCATTGTTGAGCTTTAAGTGGTTTGTGTAATCCCCTATAACCAATACCATGAAGCCAAAGGATTCTGAAAATCTTTTTTCAGCACATTTTGAGTAGGAGCGAACCTGGGAATTCTCTCTCTCTCTCTCTCTCCCCAACTCTGTCATGAAACAGAGCACCCCATTTCCATATCAATCGGATTAGTTCCAAGACCAGGGAAGTAGGAGTAATGTAAGTAACCGTACAAATTTAAATATAGGACATCAAAAACATTGTTAGGCATTCATTTATTTTTGAAGCAGCCCTGGCTCTGTGTCTCTCTGTGAAGATGAGATGAAAATGCATCTCTTCAATTTTATTTTCATTTTATTTTGAAAGGTGCTGAACACCGCAGTATTTTAAACATTTCATGTGCGCCGCGGCATCCCGCTGTTCTTGTGTGCTTAACCTCATTTGTGGAATGAAAATGTCACATCAAGCAATACGCTTGTTCAAAATGCAACATCAAAACAATTTCAGGTGGGCAGCGTTCACACAAGCTGATTGTTTTTGAACATTTTTGCAGAAACATAGTGTAAAATGGTGGACTCCTGGCTCCTGTGGTATCTATGCCAGCTGGCGCCACACAGTTACGCTTTAACATACAATTCACAATGTATTGGTACATATATAGTTTCAAACTGATATGGTTTTAAAAGATGGTGTGTAGAAGTAAAATAAAATATAGAAAACTATTAAATATTGTGCATCATCTAGTAATGAGCTGTTTTCCTAAAAATTGACAATAAAAATAATACAGTTACTATTAAAAAAGAAGCATTTTACAGAGATAGTGAGGTCTGTGAATGCCCGTGTGTATTCATGTGTATGTCTGTGTGTGTATGAGTGAGTGAGTGAGTCACAAAGACATTATTCAGCAGTCTGTGACTTTGCTGACTGATCTGACCAGCCAGTAGCTCCCTTTTCGGATGAAGAGATGGATAGATGGATGTCTGGCTGTGCTTCCTCAGCCCTTTATGACTTAGACTGTCTCTCTGTAATTGAAAAACTAGCTCTGCTGTGTTGTCTTGGGATCCCCCCCCCTTTTTATAATGTAGCTTCAAAACAGGAAAACCAATAGTGGGAATAGACCCCGAATGTATTAATTTTGTGGGGGCGGGGGTAAGCGGGGTTTGGGGGGGCCTATTATTGCAGGAGGAAGAATTTAATCAGTTGCAGATTCCTTCTGTTTGGTTAGCGTGACCGTGGCCAATTACAAGTGAACCTGTGTACAGTTTCACTTCCTGTGCTACCCAAAAAATGGACTGAGTCCGGTCTGCAGAGCGTGGCAGAAAGGAGAGAGAGAGAGGAGGAGGAAAAGAAGAGAGAGAGGAGGGAGAGGGAGAGAGAGAGAGGGAGAGAGGGGAGAGAGAGAGGAGAGAGAGAGAGAGAGAGAGAGAGGAGAGAAGAGAGAGAGAGAGAGAGGAGGGAGAGAGAAGAGAGAGAGAGACGACGAGAGAGAAAGAGAAAGAAAGACAAAACAAGACACATGAAGATGAGACTGCAGGAAAGTAAACAGAGCGGAGGAAGGGGAAGAAAAAGCAGAAATGAGGGGAGGGTGAAATCTCCGGCCAGATCTAAGGTGCACAGACATGAAGGCACATACGTCGTTTATCCACCTAATATAGAACATGACATGTGGTTTACAAAGGAAATGAAAGGATTTTGGACCTGACTTCTCTTGCTGGTTGAGCTGTTCTCAGGTAAAGCCTGAAACTGCAGAGCAACAGACCAAACTTGAGTCACAAATGCAATAACGCATAACTCAATCATTGCAGAGATGTTATCGAAAGACACAATTTGGCATTGCTGTTTTTCCCCTAAATCGAATTAAACCACTGGACTAAACAACTGAATGACAATTGCTAAGGCATACCTGAATTTGCATAAAGTGTCCTTTTTTTCAGCATGTAGAAGTAACTCAATATGCCATGGTACTTCCTAGGAAATTCTCGACGCTTATTAAGCCAGATACTGCTTTTGCTAAAGGCTCTCCAAGCCAGTAGTTTACACCATATTACAACAATATTCTCAAAACATCAGTCATGCTCTTTTTCTCAGGCCTTTTGCGGGATGTTTTCTTGCTTCTACGTCAGAAAAAAATCAGCAAAAAAATGAGATATGATAACACAAACTTGCCACTGCCACAGAGATTTCCATTGACAATCAATTACAACCTGACCTGCCAAAATGGTTCCCTTTGGCTTGATCCTGCTCCTCAATTCTCTCTTCTCTCTCACTCTTTTTTTTGCTCCTCCAGAGGGGTCTATTCCCATAGTTTCCCTCTGTAATAGTTTTTTGGCGTATTACTTTCCTCAATCCACCCCAGAGGTCTCCCATAATTCACTTTTGATATCATTGTTTAGTTGTAGAATTAGAGGAGGGGTGCACACAGGGATCAGGCAGGCATATTAATTCATTCATTCTAGTGTGATGTGATCGGTCCCTTCATTGCAACTATGTTTTTTATTGAGGGAAGTTGCAGTTGCAGTAACTGGGAAATTCGGTTATTACTTGAAATTGTATTGATTGCATAGATTATTTAGCTACCAGTACATAAAGATGTAATTATTTACTCATATTCTGGTTATATACAGTGTTATTTTTAAGATGTTAGTTAAAATACATGTGATCTTTTATACAGAATACATTTTCACTTCTAAAATGTTCAATGGCTGCATTGATGACAGATGAAATAAATACTTGGAGTGATAAAAACATATAAATACTGGAAATGAAAAGAACAAATTCCTTTTCTCTAGTAAAATTCAGGAAATCTGTTTTATATTACCAAACAGATGACATGACATTTATTACCATTTTCCAGCACAGTTGAAAACATCTCAAGGGGACCAATACTGTAGCAGTTACAAGTGGAATAAACTGCTTAGAAGATGTTCGAGGGATGATGCACATAAATGCCAATATGAATGTGAATTCCCCGGGAAGCCTATTTTGCGCACACACACACACACACACACACAACATGAGAAATGGGCAAAGATCCAAACTATTCAGTGTGAACTGGAGGGTCCAAGTCGCTAAACTAATCCTAGTACCACAGGATCCCACTTCCAGCCCCGTCTTTTGCTGCAGCTGCCTGGAATCATTTCACAAACACAAGGTATTCCTGGAAGAATTGATTCTGTTAGATAGTGCATTGATCACACACATCGCCTGCAGACAGAAGATGGCTTTACAAGCAATAAGATGGGAGACAATTATATTATTTTAGTCAAATAAGACAGAGTACAAGCAGCGAGTGCCAATAGCTGAGGCAGGGGTGGGGGGTTGGGGGGTACACAGCCGGCCCCCTCTGTGGCTGCCTCGGTGTGTTTGTGCTCCATCCTCAAGTGGCACGGTAATCCACTAAACTTTCCTCCACCCGCTTCTCTCAATGCAATCAGGATGCGAAGGCTCACCAGTGATTGCGTTCATTTGTAAAAGCATCCAAGCCAAAATTGAACCCCAAGGCTGATAAACTATAAAGATGCTGATCAGATCGCGGCTAAGGAGTCCGCACTTGAGGGCACAAGGTGTCAGGGCTGGAGCCAAAAGAGCAATGACTCTGTATACCTCACTTGGAGCCAGGCGGCTGCCCCGGAATACAAACAAGAGGAGAGAAAACACATAAAAACGACAACAAACTGCAGTTGGATTTTTCATCCCCCAGCATCTTTCAGAGGAGGAATGTATTATCTGTGCAGCAGATTAGCAGTTTTTCAGATGTTGCTTTTTTCCTGTCTTTTTTCCCTCTTCTTCCGATTGGTAAATTGGGTGCATTTATTGTTTGAGCTTTAGCAAATGCATTGTATTTTATTGATGAGTTCAAAGTGAATTTCATAATGCATCTCAAGAAAAGTAGAAGCCCAAAAGACATACTGTTAAGGGAAGTCTTATGTTTTCAACCGTGCAACAGAATATTATGCCCGATTTATCAGAATGAAAACAATACAAAACTCTGCAGTGCTCTTCGAGTCCAATCCATTCTGTTTTTATTGCAAGCTCCACAGTACTGCCTATTGTCGCTGGGCTTTAAGAGTTACCACAACTTTTTGTCTGCTTTACAGTTATTTCTCACAGCTATTGCATTGTCTCACGCTAAATGAACAGTGTCATTACTTTAAACACACATTTCTGCCTCTGCTAAAGCACAAAGATTGAGGACAGACAGAAAGAAAGAAAGGGAGGATCTGAGGATGTTTTTTCCCTCTCCATCCTCGTGGCCCCAGTGCGTTAAATGTCAAAGAGCAGTCAGCGGGAGAGACTGATTCCAGGAGGCGATGTGAATGGGACGATTGAAGACCCGCTTTGATTGACAGCTCTTCCTCTCTTGCTCTGCCCTGAGGGTGATTGACAATGTGGTTCATCTCACATTTTGTGACTGAGCTAATCCAGTAAATTCCTACCAGACGCAGCACAACTCAGCAGAGACCTGCCGCTCCTTTCCCAGGTGGAGTTTTTATTTTATCTCTTCTTTCCCAAAATAAATATGTTTTTCCATCTGTGGCACTGAAAACAAACCAGGGAGGGGGGGGGGGACTATAATTAAGTGTAAGTACATAATTAAGCG